TATGAGAAAAATCAATTCAAAATAGAACCTCCAACTTGCCAACACTGCAGAGATGTTTACCAATATGTACACACCATTTATGTGCCCTGCCCACTGAAAAAACACGAATGGTTCACAAATTGCTCCAAGAATAAATCTTATTGACAAGGCAACAAAATGGAATTGAAAAATACAGTCAGCTCAATAATTTGTTGCCAAATTATCCACCATAATCAGTAATTACTGATTTCATGATTTCTAGCAGGTGCTAAATGTATTTTGTTGATATCCCACAGTGAGGATGCTGTTAGTTTTTGTTCCCTTATGTCTTTTAATGGAAGGCAGCTGTTGTCAGGGCAAGACATAGGTATGAATCCTGGCTCTGGCTCTTGCTATCTGCTAGACTTTGGGTAAACTATTTTACCTCTCTAAGCTTCCATTTTTTCCATCTTGGAACTAGTATAGCTCAGGCTTTTAGAGCCAAACCAAAGGCATTAACCAGCAGGAATATAATGTGTTAATATACATTAAGGTACACCCAGCGCCAATGGTAGGAATAAATATTAATTGCCATATGAACTGACAAGCTTCTTTTGCATTGAGCTAGTATGCGTATAACAGAGCATGAGAAGACTGGATCAGGATTGCAAACTAAGAATCTACTAAAAGCTTCTTCCTCATCTTGAATTCCCATAAATGACAAGAAAAAATTTTAATTGAAACCAGCAGTAGAAAGCAAGACTTGGTGCCTACAATAAACCAGATATTATAGAAATGTGTGAAAATTAAAAGCAGATGGCTTCATATGGAAAGAAGAAATACTAGCCAAAACTGATAAAGGAGGGTCTCTAGGCTCCAAGCTGCAAGGCCATAAACGAAAAAGAACAAGAGAGAATCCAGGTCAACCAGACAGTGACTGATCTAGGTAGAAACATCCAGGAACTTTGAACACATTGTCCCTCTCCTTCTGGTGCCACACATGTGCACTAGAGGCTTCTGCCCTGAGATAGGAGCAGTACATATCCAGGAACATACTAGTCCTGCTGCTGGGAATGAGGGGCATACTCACTGCCACCCAGAAGGAAAGGGGAGGCTTCAGGACAGCCTCCCTGCAATCCTGGAAACAACCCAGATCAGCAGATATATCAGAAACAGGTTAACACAGAAGCTTAGATTCCAGATAAGCATGCAACCAAACCCAGCAAATACATAAGTCTCGCCAGCAACCCGCCCAGATGAGATGAACTGGGTTCAAAAGAACTGGCTGCAACATTAAGCTAAGAAAACAGGAAGAAATCACGTAACCCACGGACATGAGTTTTTCAGATGGAGGGAGGGACTGCTCTGTGACCTCAAGGGTCCTCTTCCACGCTGGAAGGCAAGAGAAAGAGTGAACTCGGAATAGCTTTATTTATAGGGAAAAAACAACAAAGGATTTTCTATGCAATATTCTACATCAAATAAGGCAGGGGATAAGGTTTCAAAGGGGGTTGCCCAATCCCATTGGTTAACACTCAAGTGCAGAACTAAAGCAAATTTCTTTGCCCAGGAAAGGTGAAGGCCACTTGCTTGGCATACCACACGCGTTCAATGCCAAACCGACACCCCCTTTACTCAAGGCTGAGCGGGGATGCTTAGCTCATGGGCAGAGCAGCCTCCCACACATAAGGAAAAGTAAGGCACTAAGTGAAGACACCATGTTCCAAATATGGACAAACAGCCATTTGACAAATGGAACAAATAAATGAAACTTTAAAAAAAAAAAGTAAGGAATACATAGCTGACATCCTGAGAATAACAGCTCCTTTTAACTAAAAGGGATTATTATGAACAGGAACTAGGGATCTTGGAAAGGAAGACTCCATCACTGGAATTTTTTAAAACTCAGAAAGTGTGCTGCCTAGCAGAAAAGATATAACTGGAAAATAATTACTTAGTTGGATGATATATGAGGGATCCTCCCAGAACATAGCTCACAAGAGCCAAATAAATGGAAAATGTTTTTAAAATTCAAATGTTCCAACATCTAATTAGGAAGAATTACAAAAAGAGAATGAAGGTAAGTATTCACAGAAATGACAGTGAAAAAATTCCAAAAAATGTAAAAAAAAAAAAAAAAAAAAGGAGGCAATGAGCTCAACAAATGTCTGAGATAAATGAAAACAGAGAATCACCTAGATAAGCCAAGATGAAACTAGGGATAGAAATTACCTACAAAGAAGTATAAATCAGATTGTCATTAATTTTTCTCAGGGGCAATTACAGATGCAAAAATACACCGAAGCAGTATTTTCAATTTTTTGTGATAAAATAATTCTGATTTTCAAAATTTACAACCTTTCATGGTATCCTGAAGACATAAAGACATACTTGTCTGTGCCAATAACACTCCTGCAAACATGGTGACCCTTCCTGAGACCCACCAGATGTTCTGTAAGAAGTGTGCAAATCCCAACCCCATAAAGCAACCCAGTACAAGAAGGGGGAGGATTCTCTGCATGCACAAGAAAAGGAGCCTCATGACAGCAAACAGTGGCCATGGTGGACAGAATAAGCCCATTTTCAGGAAAAAGGCTAAAACAACCAAGAAGACTGTGGTGACACTTCAGTGTGTTGAGCCCAACTGCAGATTTGAGGGAAAGCTGGCTGTTAAGAGACTCAAGCATTCTGAACTGGAAGGAGATAAGGAGAGAATGGATGGAGTGATCCAGATCTAAGGTTCATTGTTTGTTTTGTTATGAAGATGATAAAATGTTGAGATTGTGTTCAAAAAAGAAGAAAGAAATAAAGACACATCAGACATGCAATGATTTACACGAAGCTTGTCACCCTTTCACCCATTCTTTACTTTGTGAAAGGATACAAGAAAACCAGCCCCAATCACAAGAAAGAAGAGAGAGAAAGGAAGGAAGGAAGGAAGGAAGGAAGGAAGGAAGGAAGGAAACCTAATTCAAGAGAAATAATATATTCACAATGGTGGTGAAAAGCTAAAAATTCTTACCATTAAGTCTAAAGTAAATTCTGAATATAAACAAACAAAAAGTAGTGACAACTCCAAATTATCTTGACATGGAAAATGGTTAAGAAGAGGGAACCTAAAGAACTTAATCTTCACCTAAAATTCAGGTCAGGGGAGAGAGGATAAAGAAAAGAAAAAGGAAAATTAAGAATGTTAGAAAAAAAATCCAACACAATCACACAAAAAATGTGAAAGTTAAATAATCTATTAAAAGACAGAGACTTTATATTTTTAAATTTTATCTTTATTGGTGCATTATAATTAGACATAATAGTGGGACTCATTATGCCATATTGAATATGCACAAGACATATTTGATCAATCTCATTCCCTAGTGCTTTCCCTTTCTCTTCCCTTCCCCCCCCCATATCTACTTGCTCTACTCTACTGATCTCCCTTCCATTACTAGTAGTAGTAGTAGTATTGCATTATAATTATACTCATATAATTATAATAATTGGGAATCGCTGTGGTGTACTCAAAGCATAAGTTGGTAGATTTCATTCCCCAGAACTTCGTTGTGCCCTCCCCTCCCTCTTTCCTTTCAATTCCCTTTCTCTATTTCATTAGTCTCCCTTCTATTTTCATGAGGTTCCCACACACACACCTTTCTTTTATTTTTATTTTTCTTTCCTCTAACTTCCACATATGGGAAAAAACATTTGACCTTAGACTTTTTGAGTCTGGCTTATTTTACTTAGCATGATGTTCGGTTCCATTCATTTGCTTGCAAATGACATAATTTTATTCTTCTTTATGGTCAATAAAACCCCATGGATGTATAACTAATGTGATCCTGCAATTTGTACACGAGGAAAAATGAGAATTCATATCCCATTTGAATCAAATGTGTGATATGTCAAGATCATTGTAGCACGGCTCGCCTGGCATGCGCGGGGTGCTGGGTTCGATCCTCAGCACCACATAAAAATAAAATAAAGATGTTGTGTCCACCGAAAACTGAAAAATAAATATTAAAAAATTCTCTCTCTCTCTCTCTTAAAAAAAAGTAAACAGTTTGGGTTTGTTATTAATGGAACAAGATGTTATTAGAAGATTATAGCAGAGAACTAGCATAACTGAATTTACATATTTTAAGGATTACTCTGGCTGCTGGGTAACATCAGAGAAAGACAAGAATGAAGGCAGAAACTAAATGGGAGGCCATAGCAGTAGACCATGTATGCAGTAGAGTTTGATTGACTTGACAGTGAATCACATGGGGTTCAGGGAGAGGCTTAGATAAAACAGAGATATTAAAGAAACTCTTGGCTATCTGGCTGGAGAAACTGGATGGATGGTATTGCCACTTATAGAGGTAATTGTTGAATCCAGATGATGGGTACATGGGGATCCATTATGTGTCTCCTCTACTCTTGAGAATATAAAACTGTAATTTAAAAAAAAAAGGCTTTTTTTTAGAGAAAAGTAGAATAGAACAAATATTATTGAAAATTTGCCGCGCTGGGGTTGTGGCTCAGTGGTAGAGCGCTCTCCTCGAACATGTAAGACTCTGGGTTCGATCCTCAGCACCACATAAAAAAAATAAATAAACAAACAAAATAAAGGTGTTGTGTCCAACTACAACTAAAAAAGAAAAAAAGAAAATTTGCAAACCAAAGAAAATGCTGCTAATGAGTTAGAATATTTTCCTATATTCTAATATACCCATGCATCTATTTGTTTTTATAAAATTGAGAATATAAAGTTGCCATGTAGTAATCTAATATTTTCAATTAGTAATAGAACATGTTTATTATCCCCATATCCTTAAAAATTCCTTAGAGCATAGTTTTTGATGGTTACATTTTGTCCCAGCTTATGTCAAACATAATTTAAATTGTGTAATTCCAGAAACTTAATGAATTTCTAAATGATTAATCAATCATTAATCATTATTAATAAATTAATAAGTTAGTCAATTTTAAGAATTCCTGGAACTGTATCAGTCAGTCAATATGTACAAGATTCTGCTAAGGTATGCAATGAAAATCAAGAAAGATCAGTTTATGATTTATTTGCCATACTTATGACACCAAATATTTCACGTGATCAGAAATGGATTTATTTATAGCATAAATACAGATTTTTATGGATAATAAAATAGAAAATGACATACATAGAAAGATTTCTATTTGCTCTAGATTCCACAGAATTTCATTATTTTGTTTGAGGTAAATTCTGAGAACATAAGGCATACCCCATATGTTCGTGATGGATGTAAACATAAAAGATAAATAAAATCTAAATAAAGATTTTGAATTGTTTTACATTTTTTACTTCTCCAGGTCTCTTGAAATATCCTACAGCAAATAACTGAAAATAATCTACTGTCAACTTATACATAAAGCATTTGATTAAAAACTCTGAAAGTGAATTTATTGCTATAAAACATCAGATTGAAGAATATTCACTAATATTAGTACCTAACAAGCAAAGCATGTCCAGAGTCACCTTTTATATTCCTAGGCCTAGATCTTTTCCCAGTTCAGGAACACAGGAATTCACAGGAGGCAATGGCCTAAAATAATTTTTGTTATCTACAATTATAAGTACTTAGAAGTTCTAGAGACTTCAAATGAATTTCCCTCAAAGGTAAACGTATATTCTTTACCTGTGAAAAAAATCAGTCAAAAGCAGACATTAAAATTTGGGTTTCTTAATTATCCACTGGCTCAAGATATTAAATATTTAGTATATAAATTTCTAGAAAGCTGGAATGGAATCAAAAGCATTTCCATTAACTCGGCTAATAAAATAAAATTTCTTTTCCTAGAGATTGAGTTTTAACAATGTGCATTCCAGTCAACACTGGCATCCCTGGACAGAATGCGATGAAGTGGTTTTCAGCAAATCCTGGTTCCAAACAGACCAGGAACTTTCTGTTTATTCTGAAAACACTTGATACCTGGAGTTGTCCAAGGAGTACTTTTTAAAAATACTTTGAAAATATTTAACTATTTCCAGTACCTGAAAGCTGAAAATAATAGCAATATTCCTTTTGCCCATTCTTACCCAAAAGTCTCACAATTTCCATGATACAATTTAATCTCTCTTTGCATTCTGAAGACTTGTAAGTGAACTTCTGAGTGTCTTAATGTAAAACCAAGTTTTTTATTTAGTTATGGCTACAGGCAGCTCTATAGAGTTCCAAGTACACCCTTGAAAAAGAATATAAAAGTTTAAAAATCTATTATCTAGATAGAAAGCATGATTGACATAATATCAAATATAATTGACTTTTTATTCAGTAAAATAAAAATAAAAGCATTACAATGGGGTGAATGACAATGATGTCCTTTTCATAAGGACATTAGAATATTATTATTCTTTTCTTTCCTGTCTTGTCACTATTCTCAGCAAGGTTGATGGTTTTAGAAGATGCTAGAACAGATGTACTGACTCTGTGGAGACTTCTTTGACCAGCATCTAATAAGGCCATTGTAATTTTAGGCTTACTTGGTATTTCTAGACATTGCCTGAGGAAAAAAGGGTGCATGTTTGAGCACTATTTCATTTGGTTTTGAAAATGAATGTTCTGATTTATGTTCTTGGTAGATTTTTTTTTTACTTTGAATCTAACATCTTGTTTTAAATATAAAAGGCTGATCATTACCTTGATATTTTCAGGAATATTACAAAAGTTTGGACAACCTTAGGACAGCCAAACACCTTTGTGTTTTATAGTCATGCAGTTCTCTCTCTAGAATGCAAAGGGATAAAATAAGGTTGAAGGGCAAGATAATTCAATCTTCACCTTTCTCTTATTAACAGATAATATAACAAACCACCAACTCATGAGAGACTCAATACCAAGCCCACAAAATTTGAAAAATCTTGCTCTATGGCGAAATATCATCGGCACTTTCTCAGAACAATTGCTAATGGGAGTTCCAGCCTTAGCATACTAGGCAACATTTCCTTCATGCTTCCTTCTCAGACTTAGTCATCTCTGCCTTCGCCTCTGGTAACCCAGTGTTCCTCTGTGCATCCCTAGGGCCAGTTACCATCACGTTCCCAGTCTACAAAACATATCCAGGCACGGAGCAGTCTTTGAAATCAAAGGCACACCATGCTCAGACCTACTCTAAACACTGCATGCGTTTCTGATCCAAACTTTTGATCTGCCATTTGTTCTCTTTCCCTTCTCTCCTGGGATCCTGGCCCAGATGGCACTTTTTCGTTGGTGGTATGCCCTGCTCCTGTCAAAGAAAAACAAAAGTTTTAATTTCTAAATATGGAAGCAATGATTCAGAACTGATGATATTTCATTATATAAGGTAATTTATTTCTCAAGATATTTCAGATTTGGATATGTTACCATAACTCTGATCATTCTTCAGCTTGTGTATGTTGATTAAACTATAAATATTTTAGCAATTGATTCACTCGTGTTTTAAAGACACCATGCACTTACAAAAACACAAGACTCATTATCCATAGAATATTTCATGTGGGTTAAGCAAGATACTTTTATATGTGTGAAGGGAATACAAAAAGTTAACAGATGGGGTATATTTGCATTAGTATCTTTCTCAAAGAAATGAGGAGGTAAAACAATTTTTCTTAGGAAGTTACTTGGCAACAAACCCCAATAGGTTAAATTTTGAATGATGAGAATTAAATAGCAGAATAGAAGCCAATTCTCATTTAAGTGCCCCCATGCATGGTTCCCAACCATACTAGAGAAAGAAGAAACTAAATGTATTGAGTAGGATGCTTGGTCTAAGAAAATATTTTAATATGAGGATAATAAATTAGAGTGGGAAGAAAAAAAGTTGTGATCCTACTGTGGTAAATGGCACAAATTAACTAATTATACTTTCAAACAAAATTCAAAAGAAAAAAAAATGTGTATGGTCTATTATTGTAAGGGATTGTGCAGGGTCCCAGAAGAGATACAAAGATGAGTTCATTTCCTTAAAGAGTTAAGACAGCTCTCCTCCCTAAAGGAATTCAGCAACTTCCTCTACAAGGTTTGAGGGCCCCCAGTATGTCTCCTTACACCTCATAATCCAGTGATGCCAACTACATAGCATGCTGGGGTGGGTTTGTTTGTTTTCTATCTTTGCACATGCTGTTCCATAGCTACCCAGCTACGTACTTCTCATCCTTCAAATCCTGTGGCAGCTCTTTCCTCTTCTGTAGGAGAATTTGCAGGTGCCAGCTTCCGGTTGGTACTGCAAATGAGCCTTCAGCAAGTCACAACCTTCTCTACTGACTGATTCTCCAGTTGAAATACAGTTTCTGGCTTGTTACCATGTCCTAGCAGAGACTGAATGCCAGACATGGGGCAGTAAGTGACCACATGTAAATGACCTATGATATGCAGAGTTTTAAACATAAAAAGTAATCATTACATGGATATTTTCATGAATACGTAAATAAAAGCATTAAAAGAGGCTATTCTACAGGCCACATTACAAAGTATTAAAAGTATAAAGATTTCTTTGATCCCCAAATCACAAAATTGACTATGTACTGTAAGTTGGAAATGATACAGTGAGGATGAGTCAAACATGTTTGGGAGGTACAAACAGGAAGCACAATTTCCCATGGTTCCTGCCCTGATGTTTTCAACATCTCCCTCAATCCATCTATGGTGTTGTAGGGAGTCTCTGGGATGAGTCAAGACAGGAGGAAAATTCCTGGACATGGTAACAGATGGGATCTGCAAAGGGTCCTTCAGGCCATGAAGGACAGTGGTTAATGTAAATCCACCTCATGGGCAGGACTTTGAGAAGTATATCCACTGTCTACTTCATGAAAAAGGAAAAATAGTGGAGATCTAGACCAATACTGACTCAAAGTCAGGAGCTAACAGTATTGGCTGGATGGTCAGGGAGACTTGACAAGAGCAAAATTGGAAAATGATGATAAGGATGAGTAGGAGAGAGAGATCACTTCAATGGAAACTCTTGAAAACCAGGTGGACAAAATGATCTATTCAGTTTCTTTCAGGCTGCCTCTTTCCATCACCTCCTCAGTGCTTGTTCAGTGGACCCAGGTAAATTGGTCACAGTAGCAGGAATGAAGACTGTGCCTGGGCTCACCAAAGCTTGCCAAGCTACACACCTGCTGAGTGCCCAGTCGGCCAATAAAAAAAAAAAAAAAGGCCAACACCAAACCCCAGAGGCCCAGCCAGTCACCTGGAGGTATATAAAGCTACCATGGCCTTCTTCCATGATGGAAATTGTATGACTTTGTCCTCGTGTGTTAAGAGTCATATTATGGGTACAGATTTATCTTCCCTACCTGAAGTGCTTTCCATAAGTGGATTGGCAGAAGGCTTTAATTATTGTCACTAATGTCCTGCACAAATTTTCCATCCAGAAGAAATATTTTCAAGCTAAGGAAGAAAGACAATGAGCTGCATGTCATTCACTGGTTTTATCGTCCAAAAATAACCAGCTTGATAGAAAGTTAGAGTAAGCTGGAAGTAGAACTCAATGATAAAGCACTCACCTAGTACAAGTGAGGCCCTGGGTTCAATCCCAGGCACGGGGGTGGGAAATGAAAGGTAGAGTGGTGTGCCAAAAGATCAGTTGCTGCACCAGCTGGTCGACCACATGTGCAGTGAGACTAGGGTGCTATCCTACAGGACACAGCATATGTCTCATAACAATTTCCACTCTGTGGTCCTATCTCCCCTGGATCCGGAACACATGGGTCCAGGAAACAGGAAAAGGAGGTAGAAATACTCCTCACTATTATATCTGGCGAATTTTTTCATCTTGTCCCCACAACTCAAAAGAAATTTCGTGTATTGTCAATGTGTCTTTGAACTCAATAGGTATAGGCATCTTAGTGCCCAAGGGAAGGATGCTTCTACCAGGAAATACAGTCACTGTTCTGATGAATCTGAGGCTGCTCTCAGGCTTTTTAAATTCTCATGTACATGAATTAACAAAGGAAGAAGGTCAGTCTACTGGCCAGGGTAATTCATCTCAATTACCAGGAGGAAATTACATTGCTGCTACACAATGAGAATACGACAAACTATGTCTGAAAGACAGGACTTCTCTTAGTACTCTCTTGCCAGATAGCCTTGGTCGGTGGAAAACTACAACAATTTAACTAGAACAAAACATCCAAGGACTCAGATCTCGTGGGAATGAAGGTTTGGGTAACTTCACCAGATACAGCACTCTAGCCAGTGTCTTAGCCCAGGCTGCTATAATAGAATATCATAAAATGGGTTGCTTATAAACAGAAGTTTAATTCTTTTAATTCTAGGGACCAGGAATCTGAGATCAAAGTGTCAATATGATTGGGATCTGGTGGAGGTCTTCTTCCAGGCAGGGGCTGACTTCTAGTTGTTTCCATACATAGCAGAAAGCTGACAACCTAAGTAAGCTCTTTCATGAGTCTCATAATGTCCCTAAAGCCAATCACAAGGTCTCCACTCTCATGACTTCATCTAAGACCTCACCTCCCAATACCATCACATTGGATGGTGGGGGGCGGGTAGGGATTCAACATATGAATTGGTGGGGGTGGGGGGGCACTCAGTCCATATCACTAGGAGAGATGTTAGAGAATAAGGGAAACAGCTGCTAGATAAAGGCAATTACAATTACAAATTAAATCTTATGAAGAGCTATAAACATAGAAAATGTAACAGGTACGTTTTATATTAATAAGTTATCTATTTCCCCTTCCTCCCTCTCACCTTCATTACTTTATGTGAAGAATCCTGGTGAGCGAGTGTTCACATTTTAGGTTTCAGCTGCGAGTGTGACGAGATTAATGACATCAATATCAATGATTTGGTGGCTGATGAGACTGTGTTCCCCATGTTAGGACAAGAGTGGATATGGAGAGCAAGGGGAATGGACTTTGCTGGTTATCTTCTGTTTTCCTTCTCAGATTCATTCTCCCCTCCTCTACTCCTGTCCTCTGCTCCCACAGTGCTGACCTCTAAAGTCTCTATCAATGATCTTCCTGTCTTTTGGACTCTGGTCGGGTTCAGCCAATGAAGAACACACCTGAGCATCGAGAAGATCCAAGGACCATGGAGTGAGGATGAGGGGTTCCCCTCACTGCCCTCACTGCAGAATCCCACAGGCCCTCTCTCTATCTCTTCCTCTAAGATTTTAGCTCTGATCAGAGACCCACCCTACCCAGCTCTTTCACTATAGGTTCCATAATGTCTTCCTCCCATCCACCCTTCTAAAGCCATGCCTTACTAGCTCCTAGATCCTGCATTCTCCCTTGGGAGTTCTCTACATCCTGCTCTAGGAATTGTCTTGTCATAACATTTGCTCCAATTTATCCCAATTACTGTCCCATCTGCCTGCTGGGACACCAACTAGACACATGCATCCATCTTCCCCACCAAAACATGAGTTCCCAGAGGGCAGGGTCTAACTTATTGCTTTTTTCACTAGAGGTAATGAGTACCTGATATTTAACAGGTGTCCATTTAACATTTATTGAATGAATGGATGAGTGAATGAATGACTGCAAAAATACAAATATCTGTAATACACAAGAGGGTATAAGTAGTGTATGAAAAGGCTACCACAAACAACAAGGAGAGACCTGTAGGGCTAAATCTGGTCTGAACAGAGCTGCCTTAACTCAGACCCAGAGCAAGGATACCTTTGTGTAATTGGTCCAACCAGCTTGGTACACTTCTTTAATATGCATGAAGCAATGGTATGCTCTAGCCCAGAATCTTTCATAAGAAACAGATATAACCTAACTACTTTGGGGGCACAAGATTTAAAAGAGAAAACATTTTATCAGCTTTGGGACAATAAAGAAAGACTTCAGCTATAATAGGACTCTTAATGATATCTATCATGAAATAAATGCATTGCTATTCAATTATTTACTTATATCATCTTTATGATTTTTTAATATACTACAAAGATGAGGTGGGATATTTTTAGCCACGCCAACATAACTTCAGACAAAACATAATGGATTATTTTCAACCCTGGGCCAATTAGCTGAAGGTTAATTTAGTCTACACAAGCCATAGTGGGAGATGCTTCTAAAATACTTAACACATGACTCAGCTGTATAAATAATTGGTAGCAAATGAAGCTGACCAAATTTTCAGGTGTTCCAATTTGGCCACAAGTGTATAAAGACTTGCACAAAGGTTGAGTTCTTCCTTTAAAAAAAAAAAGTAAATATTTTTTCAGGTCATAAAACCAATACCTAAATACAATAATGTGCTGCACAGTGGTATTTCACTCGATGATGGACAGCATATATGATGATGATCTCATAAAATTCTATTACTAGTGATGTCGTAAGTCATCTTATTTTTATAAGTACACTCAGATGTTCACACAAGGACAAAAATCACTTAATACATTTCTCTGAATGTATCCCCATCATTAAAGTGATGCATGACTGTTCTGAGATAGACAATTACATACATTATAATGCTATGCTTCAATCCCATCTGATAACCTTAAATAACAGTGTAGATAAATAATGCCAAGGCTTAACTAAAAATTGCTGTCAATAGGACAGATCAAGGATTAATTCCACTAAAATGCTTTTTTTCTTTATTTGGCAAATCTAGTTTCATTTCAATTATTTGTAGGAAATGCTGAATCTTATTTTTCAATGATAATTTAAACAAAGTCTTTGTGATAGACTAAAATGCTGTGTTAATAGCATTTGTGAAGACTCTGGGGGTATTTAGTAAAAATTATAGGGTTTAGGGTTTAGTGAAAGGAGAATTAGTGGGCCTTCACATTCATAAAAAAAGAGTTTATTTTAAGATTTCCATGGCAAGAGTGGATTACTCAATAGCGAACTCACACACTAAAAATGGTTATATCTGACCAGACCTTTTGGCAAAGAAACAAGACTTACTTATCTTACTCTGCTACCCTGGGTTAATATAAACCACACCTGTTTAGAAGGATGTCTAGAGAATTTATGCAAGTTTTGACCTGCATCTCTTCATTTAGAGTTAATGACAGTTTTTCCATATCATATTTAGGTCTCAGGTTTCAGCACCCTCCGAAGGGAAGTAACGAATGTTTGCTATGTTATGTGTCACTTCCTGGAGAACATGCCATCTATCTTCCCTTGGATATTCAATCTCTATTTTCCCCTTTTGTAATGGAAAGAGCATTGTTTTGAGTCAGGCTGACTTAGATTTAAATTCACCCATTTATAAAATTGGGCTAATCAGAGCTATTTTACAGGGTCATTATCAGGTATATCAAAACTGCATATCAAGTATCTGTTTCAGTACCAGCAATTTAATAAGTGAAAGCAGCAGTAGTCATCATGATCCTTGTTGTTATTATTACAAGTACACCCATCAAGACTTCTAAGATGACAATTTGATTTCAAGAACCTGCAGCAGTTAAGAAGCTAAATTATTCAAAATTATTCGGAAAAGCAGGGTGAATCACTGGTGAGTCAGTTGTATCTTATTCAATAATATGTATAACTAGTGATGGTAAGATAGCCCTCTCTAAGACATTTTACTACATAAAACATATGCATAGTTAAGGACACAAGATTCTTTCTCAATTTTAGTCAGAGAACCAGAGCAGGTAGTTTGAGGTGAGGTCCAGGAAAATCAAATCACTTACAGAGCACTGTGGAAATGATTTTTTCATATGGTCATGTTGATTCAGTCTTAGCATCCTCTATGATCAACTGACAGCTTTCAATATTGCCAGAAACAAAATCTTCAAAAAATTATTTTTTCCATTTGTGTTGTTGTCATTGTTACTCTTGTTCATTTAACTATCTTTATCTCTTCTGTGACATAAACAAACAAAATGTTCAAACCACTTGAAACTGCTACCCACGTATATCTTGCATAAACAACATAATATCTAATAAAACCATAAATCTCCAAATTTCAGTTATATTATACTATCAGTATTGGAATGACTTTACATACAGAATTAGAAAAAATATGTACAAAGTTATTAATATATCACATTATTTAACATCTCCTTTCTTCTTCTCCTAATTCTGAGAATATATCCAACAACAAATAATTTGCCCTGTTCTTTCAAGATATAAAATATCATTTTTCTTTATTTAAATGATTTAGTTTAAGAGAAGTGGTTTGGAAAAGCATTAGGAATGTCAGATTTTATAACAAACCATG